ATATATAATTTAGACATTAACTCCTTATCAGATGTGTGGTTTGCATATATTTTCTCCCATTCCATAGGTTGTTATATGATTCATTCGATCAGTAGATGCAGATCTAAGTTTGATCTTTTTGTAATCTGGAGCATCTGTTGCTGTTTGGGGGAGGAAATATAACTAGTGGTAAAAGCAGGAGTTCTGGAATCATACCAACATTGCCATATATAAGCTATTTATTTTGATGAGTAAATCAAGTCCCAAATTTCCATTTTCTAAAAGTTAAAAGATGATAATAAAGGATCTAATACATGGGTTGGAGGAAGTTTCAAGTCAGATATATATCTGTATGTAAAGTTTCACAATAAAGATATCTAACAAATCAATTTAAAAAAAAAACACAATTTTTAACATGGAGGCAAATGATTTAATAGTTACTTCATAGAAAGAAGATATCAAATGGTACGGAACTTATGAAGAATTGTTCTCCATCGTTATTTATCAAAAATTTCTCATTAAAACCACAGTGAAATATAACCATTCATCCACAATGGATAAAATAAAGAAGATTAATAATATCAAGTATTGGCAAGGATTCAGAGCAATGGCAGCTCTCATTGCCAGTAGAGGAGTAAATAAATATAACCGTTCCATAGAAATGTCAGTCTGTGCTGAGGATGAACATATGCATCCCCTCTGATGCAGCAATCACCTTGGTAGGTATAGTTATACAAGAGAGAAGAGAGCAAATGTCCAAAAAGACATGTGTTTTCATAATAGCCCAATTATGAATAACCCAGATCATCAACAGAATGGATAGAACGGAATGCACATATATGATAAAGTTCTAGCCACATTAAAGAAAGAACAAACAACTGCTTCAGGCTGTAATGTAGGTGATCTCACAAACATAACGAGCAGTGAATTAAGCCAAACACATACTTCAGTAAGGCTTTTTTTAAAAAAGAACAATGCATGATTTATACTAAGGGTTTAATAAATGTGGAGATATTTTTCACGCTTTCTTTTAAAGGCTATGCAGTTACCCCATCAAAACACTTCTGCTCATGTTTTGTCCCAATTTGAGACCTTTTCAGACCTTTCTGTAATTTGAAAAGAATCAATTTGAAAGAATCAATGGGTATTAAGTCTTCATTTTTATTGAAACTCAGACACTTTCTCTGACCACGGTCTTTACCCTTCATCTTCCTGCTCTTCTCATCTTTTTGCTGTGCCAGTTCATTCGCTGCTGCATCCCAGTTCATCTGAATAGCTGTGTTCCTACAAAACTTCTTTCTTTATTTTTAATTTGCTGTAGGGTGTGTATACTCATTGGGGAAACACAGAAAGAGAGAAGTGAGAAAGTAACTCCCCAAGGGGAGGTGGCTGCACTGCAGTTCCTTCTCCCCTATTCTCTTACTGGGATTTTGGGCATGCATATACCATGTTTCTCAAGCTGTCAGGTCTAGGACTTGAACCATGCAGTTGACCATGTGAGACGCAGCTACCTTAACCACCATACCACCAGCTGGCCTACAAAACTCCTTTATGGATCCAGTTTACAATCAGTCACCTACAGTTGATCAAAGTGACTGGGATTTTACAAGTGTTTTATCCTTTCAGCTTTTGCACTGTTGCAAGAATAAAGCTGCCTTCTAATGGATAACACCTGAAAATTAATGTGTAATGAATATAAGACAGGTTTTATGAAATACATCCAGAAATTTTTTAAAAGCTTACTTAATACATGAGGGTTATTTGAATTAACATTTTGTTTGAAAGAGATCATTCGATTTGCAGGATATAGTAACCTTGGAAACATTGCTTCAAAAAACAATTAAAAATAGAAAAAAATATTGTGTGATTTTATTTAAAAGTTGCTGTGTGTTCAGATACCTAAAGCTTCATTTAGTGCTTATACAAGTAAGCTGAAGCATGATTTACGACATGGTAGGGCTATATTCAACCCCCAAACTAACAAACTTTATTATTATGCTGTCTGCTCCCATCTAAAGAGACCCAGACAATGAACTGTGCTAACCATAATTTAAGGGCAAATAATATATCGAACCTAGGCATGTTTTTTTTTTTTTTAAATTCTGTCCTGACATGCACAGTGTTTCCCAAAGAAAATGTGATAACTGATAGAAATGATTAGATATTTTCTATGTAAAAATTACCACTTGTCAGAAAAAAATATTGCTTAAATAATTCAAACTTGTTTCCTTAGGTTAATAACTGCTTGGCTGCCTTGGAGGTTATTTTCATTTATTTTAAAACCTTTTTTTCTTTCAAAAATTATTTCATTTGGGGGAAACAGCAGTTAGCGTAATGGCTATGTCGCTGGATTCCCACGTAGTCGACCGCGGTTCGTGTCCCGGACCCGGTGGCTTAAAACTCACGCCGGGCGCGTGTGCGTGCGTGCCCAAGATCCCGAGAGGAGAATAGAGGAGAAGGGATTGCGGTGTGACCATCCCCCCTGGGGGGTGATTTCTCGCTTTCTGTCTCTATGTCTCTCTCTGTCTGTCTGGCGAGCGCACGCGCCCTACAGTGAAAATCTCTTCAAAAAAAAAAAATTATTTCATTTGGGACCAGCTGTTGGCATAATGGCTATGTTGCTGGACTCCCATGTAGTCGACCGCAGTTCGAGTCCCAGGCTCGACTGATGGCTTCAACTCACACTGGGTGCATGTACATGCATACCCAGGATCCCAGGAGGAGAATGGAGGGGAAGCAATTGCAGCGTGGCCATCCCCCTGGGAGGTGATTTCTCGCTTTCTGTCCCTTTCTCTCTGTCTTTCTGGCGAGTGCACGTGCCTAATAGCAAAAAGCTCTCCAAAAAAAGAATTATTTCATTTAACTTTAATTCATTTATTAATTTATTTATTTAATTCTAAATTTGACCAGAGAGGGACAGTGAGAGAGAAAGAAGGAGGAAAGAGAGAAAGCAAGCCACCAAGTCTAGATCTCAAACCGTGATTGGCCATGTGTGAGTCCAGCACCCTTAACCACCATGCCAGCTGCTCGCCCCTATTTTAGTTTATTTTAAAGATCAAGCAAAATAATTAAAACATCTTTATGTTTTAAAATTGTGTAATATAAGTTTAATGTAGTTTGCCATCTGACTCTTAGAAATTTTAACTTTATACATGTGATTTAAACCAGAGCAAGTATTAATCAGATTCATCCCTTTACAATCCACAGTGATAAATACTCTTACCCATGCTTTAATAAACAATGAAATGGAGATTCAGAGAGATTGAGTGATATGCTTGAAGTCAGACAGCAAGTCATATTCCTTTACTTGTACAGTCCCTCACAGTTGTCATAGTTTATCTTAACAACCCTTCCTACAAGTGTGCCATTTCACGGTATTCTTTAACTCCTATCATACATTGTCACTAGTTTTAGACATTTCAAAAATGTAGATACCGGGAACAGCAGTTAGCGTAATGGCTGTCGCTGGACTCCCACGTAGTCGACCGCAGTTCGCGTCCCGGACCTAGTGGCTTAAACTCATGCCGGGCGTGTGTGCCTGAGTGCCCAAGATCCCAAGAGGAGAATGGAGGAGAAGGGATTGCCGTGTGGCCATCCCCCCTGAGGAGTGATTTTTCTCTTCCTATCTCTCTGTCTCTCTCCCTCTGTCTGGCGAATGCACGTGCCCTATAGCAAAAACCTCTAAAAAAAAATGTAGATACCTATGGAACATGCCGAAATAAATTACCTGAAACTCTGAAACAGCATGTGGCTTGCTTAGAAGTGAATATTTATGCATGCGTAATCACAGGTAAGGTCATTAACATAGGAGAAATTTAAATCACCCAGATCTTGTGGAGTGAGGAAGGTAGTCAAAGTATGGAACTCTCATTAAGTTGCAGCTTATAGGAACAGTACATGTCTCCTCGTCAGAGGACTGGTGAGGGAGATTCTAGAGCTAGGAAGTGCAGAGTATCCACTGCCAAGTAATAGTTCCAAAGAGATAATGTTTGAGAGGATCGAGCACAACAGAGACCCACAAAGATAAGGACTGAGTGAGTCTACTGCATTTGTCACTCAAGTGGTCATTGAGAGCTCTTAGCGAATGTATTGGTGTTAGAGTTTTCTTGTGCTGAAGCGAGATTATGACAATCAGGTGTCCTGAAGTGGAGACAAACGTGTCACTGGTCATATGCAGCTACTGAGCACTTGGAATGTGGCTAGTGCAGATGGAGTTGTACTACAAATGTAAAACAGGGATAAGATTAAAGACTTAGTCTGAAAGAGAACATAAAACTTATCATTGATATTATGTTGATTGTATGCAGAAATGATACCACTTTGGATATATTCATTTAACATATGAATAAGATTGATCTTAGATGTCTCTCTTTTTCAATGCAGTTGCTAAAAAATTTAGACTTATGTATGTGGTGAATTTTCTGGCTCACATTGTATTTCTATTGTATAGCACTGGTATGCATTATTCTTTTCAGAAGTTTGATTTGAAAGGGAAGATTGCAAGTAGATAGCATCTAAACAGAAATGCAAGGTCAAGGGGAAGAATTCTAAACTTATTGGTGGCCCCTGGAAAAGGAAGGAGAGGTTGAAAGGAGAATGAGAGAGGTTTTGACTAATGGAGTGTGATTCCCTAAGAGATGGGGTAGAGTCCATTTTGCAGGTGGAAGAATGGGATTGATTCAAAAAGAGACATCTTAGCCTCTGAACTATGACCAAAGAGGAGGTGAGGATAAGTCTAAATGTAGATAAATAAGTAGGAGGAAGCATAGACAGAAAGTTGAAGGCATATAAAAGACAGGGGTATAAAAGACAGGTTTCATAGATCCTAGTGATTAAGACTAGGAGGGATTGGAGTGATCTACAAATTTTTTGAATGAATTAGATTTTTATGCTCTTTGAATCATACTTATTTGTGTCCTAGAAAGTTTCTATTGTATAGGAATTTGTTAATTTCGTTGATAATGATAACTCACATCTGATCTAAAAGGAAATGCTATTTTTGACACCATTTTTATTCATAGGAGAGTTTGACACTGTGCAGAGCCCCTCCACACCTATCAAGGATCTTGATGAGAGAACATGTAGGAGTTCTGGGTCAAAGTCCCGAGGAAGAGGTCGGAAAAATAATCCCTCCCCACCCCCTGATAGTGACCTGGAGGTATGCCTGCTTATTCTTACTATGATGCTTTATTTTAATGAACAATATATTTTTACAATTCCATTACATTTCAAAGTTTAAAAAAAGAAAAAAAAAAGATATATCAGGAACTGAATGAGCCCACTTTGTTCTAAGCATTTTACAATGCTGAAGTTAGAGATTTTATTCATTATAATGGATAAAAACTTTAAAACAACAAAACTTTAAAGTGATAGTACTTTTACAAATTCTAGGCCTGAAATAACTACATCTTTTGATCCAAAATTGACACTAACAAATTTTACAAGGAAAGTCACATTTGTGGGAAAATTTTCTGAGAAATACTGTATTTGATAGTGCTAAAGGAATGAAAATTTATAAGGGTCAATAAATTTAAATAGATAAAAGCAATCTGTATGGAAAAGAAAAGTCATCTCCTGAAAATAGGGAAAATTTCAGTCATCTGATTTATGTGTTAAAATTTGAATATCTGTAGAAATTTTGATAATGTGTTATTTTCCTACTTGTGAGATCTTTTGAGAGTTACCCATGCTAAACAGGTTGCTTTTTATATAAAACATCAGGAGAAATTAAATTTAAACATGTTAACTTCTTATACAACTACATACATTAAAACCAATTGAGTAAAATCAAGTAAGAAACATTGCACCTCTTCATAAGAGACTTTCTCTACCTGAACATTAGTAGCAAATTCATGTGCCTTCAGCCCCCTGGCAGGGGTGTAATGAGTGACCAGAGGTCCAGGAACTGTGGGGAGCTGTAAGCACTTCCCTATTGTGAAATCCCGCTCATCACTGCCTTGTGGGATGCCAGGCAACAAGACTGCAGCTTCTGGTTTCTCAGCAGCAGGCAGAACCCTGGTTTCTCTGAAGTCTCCTAATTATGAAATGTTGATCAATAATTTGAAATATTTCAAAACGGCATGCAGACCGAACAACATATCTGCTGGTTTACTCTGGCCCAAGAGAGTCCACAATTTACAATTTCTTTTTAGAGATTACTCACCTTTATTTTATTTATTTATTTATTTATTTATTTATTTTTTTAGGTTTTTGCCATACAGCTCACCAGAGAGAAGACAGAGACAAGAAATTGAGAAATCATCCCTTAAGGGGAGATGTCCATGGACGCTACATTCTATTTCTCCTCCATTACAAAGTCTAAATATCTCTTATTTCAGTTTTAAGTATGAGTTATTGTTTGGGAAAAAAATCATTCAAATGAGGACATCTTTTTTTAAAAAAAAATAATTATTCTATTTAACTTTATTTATTTTAATTTGATCAGGGAGGGACAGAGAAAGAGAGAGAGAGAGAAAGTAAGAAACCAAGCCTTCAGGTCCAAGACTCCAACCATGGTCAGCCATGTGGGAATCCAGCACCCTTAACTACCACGCCACCTGTCAGCCCCCAGGACATCTTACTTTTAAGCTTATTATCATTTGTATGATTCTTGTTCCTCAGGTTTTACAAATGCTGGATTTGAAAAATTTGGGGAAAAAATTTAGTGGAACTGGGTAATTTTCTGTAAAGTAGTATTAAAATTATATCCAACAATGAAGGGAGATATTTTCTACTTACAAAGAGATTTCTGTTTCCTTAAACTTTATAGCTTTCTGATACCTACTTTTTTGTCTTCAGCGTGTGTTTGTCTGGGATTTGGACGAAACCATCATTGTTTTTCACTCATTGCTCACGGGGTCTTATGCACAGAAATATGGCAAGGTAAGAAATCAGACATTTTACTCCAAGAAATCTTGTTAGAATTTTATTTGGTTCAAAATTCTCAAGGGCCATTTAAAAACACTCTGAAGTGTTTTTGGTACAGTCTTATAAAATCTTCTCAGTGATCTATTGGTTATCAGAAAAGTCATGATGTATTTTTTCTGTTTTTCTATGCAAAAATGTATCATGACTTTTCCAACAATTCAGTATTTCCAGTGACTTATTATAAGGTGACAGATTTTATCAAGCTAATTATAAATTGGATTCTCTTTTCCTTCTTCACAATGACTTTGTGTTTCCTATATCAAGATCAAGCCTCTTACTCTCTCATAATTATTGTAGAGGAAAAATTTGATCAATTGTAATGGGTTTTGAAAGATTATAAAATCATGGAACCAGCAGTTAGTGTAATGGCTATGTCGCTGGACTCCCACGTAGTCGACTGCGGTTCGCGTCCCAGACCCGGTGGCTTAAAACTCACGCTGGGCGCGTGTGCGTGCATGCCCAAGATCCCAAGAGGAGTACAGAGGAGAAGGGATTGCAGCTTGACCATCCACCCTGGGGAGTGATTTCTTGCTTTCTGTCTCTATGTCTCTCTCTGTCTGTCTGGTGAGCGCATGCGCCCTATAGCGAAAAATCTCTCAAAAAAAAAAAAGAAGAAGAAAGATTACAAAATCACATATTATTTCCTATTAAGGAAACCTTAAGGAATAGTTTGAACTAGTTTGTTGCACTAACTGTTGCTGTAGGATGCCATTTAAAAAACAAGTATAATACATTTTTATCTGACAGATCCTTTGAATTTATGAATGAAAATATGTTTCTGTAACTTGAGTAAGCCTAATAAAGCTATGAACAGTTGAGATAGGGTCACACCATGCTTTTCTCTTTTGCTATTGTTTTCATGGTTAGTGTCTTCCAAGTGTTATTATACACTTGTTGTATAAGTGTTTCTACAAATGACTGTACAAAGACTGATATAACCATAACAGACAGACCTTTCAGCTGTAAACACAGTAGTGTAAGCCATTACTGTTTAAGTCTGACTCAACAGGACTCATAATCTAACCAGTGTCAATTGGGAACATGTTGGCCAGCTTTCAATTACAGAATAGTCTTCTAAAAGTTCATGGAAAAGGAGCATTATGAAAATCCTATGCATAGATTTAAAAATAAACTCAATAAAGTTCCATGTTTCCATTAATTTTTTTGAAGTCCCCTGATCTTGCTATGCCTTTATAGCATCACATTATTTGGTAATGTCTCATGTCAGCTCAATATGCAGTTCTTAGAACCGTGTCTTCTAGACTAGTAATGATAAATTGCACTTTGGATGCATCTACATCATTATTTTGTTGTTTTTTAGTAGAAGTAATGGATGTTGCCAAACACATATGAAAGTAGCAATTTGTTCTGTTTTTTTGTTTTGTTTTGTTTTCATTTTTTTTTTGTTTTTTTTTCAAAAGCAGTCTTGGCCCCTTTATCAGTCATCATCATCTAAAATAGTAGTCTCTAAAAAAGGCTGTATACATATGCGCCAGACATATAAGGCCATCTGTTAAGATAAGGAAAAAAATATTAGAATGAATACTGACATGCACACATACATTTGTGTCTCATTAATTTTTTTATCATCTCTTTCACTATAAAAAACTACCGTAGACTGGGTGGTTTAAACAATAGACATTGATTTATTTTTCACAGTTTTGGAGGCTGGGAAGTCCAAGATCAAGGTGTCAGAAGATTTTATTCTTATGAAGGCTTACTTCCTGGGTTACAGATGGACATCTGTGTCCTCACGTGGTGGAGGGCAAAGAGCTAGAAAGCAAGTTCTTGTGTCTTTTTATAAGGACACTAAACCCATTCTCGAGGACTCTATCTTCATGATTTAATTACCTCCCAAATGCCCCACCTCCTAATCCCCAGTGGGATTAGAATTTCAATGTGAATTTGGGGAGAATAGAAACATTCAGTCCATAGCATGCTTGCATATGGTTTTAATTTGAAGTATTACTATACATAAATTAGGGGTGCACACTCAAAATTCTATTACTGATGGAGTGTGCTGTCTAAAAAGTTTCTGGACAATAAAGCATTTCTTCTAGAATAATATCAGCTTTTCAGGAGAACACAGTAAATCCTCTTGAACTGATTGCAATATTTTTTGTGCAGCTCAGTTTCATATTGGATAAGTATTTAAAATAAACAACCTAACCTGAATACATGAACCCAGGTAAAGATCTCTTTCCAATAGTCACCATTAGGAGCTATACCTAAATATCTGAGTTGCATCATATCAGTGCTAGAACTCATGTCTTGGAATTATTTTTATATTTTTAACATATTTCTTGACATCAAGTTTCATCTTCTTGTTGTAATTTTGCTGTTCAGAATTAAGAAGATCATTTGCACCCAAGAGAATCTATTTATTTCTTTTCTTTTTGTCAGAAATATCATAGTGTAATGAAATGGCTTTTCTCAACTGACTCATAAACTAGCTCTCAGAGCACTTACAAAAGCAAGGTTCTCAAGCTTCTCTAAGCAGTGGTGCATCATTGAAATAAACCTGTCCCATCCCTGGATGACTACCTGGACAGCAGACATCTCAATGTGCAGGTTACATCACTTCCTAGTATTGGCTACAAAACTTTCCTCAAATAGAAACAGACATTCTTTATGCTTCCAGAAGGTACAGCAGAGTATACAGGATAGGTGGGGCAAAGTGAGAGGAAGAAGGGAACTTTTATTTAATGCACGTAGGAAATGTCACACAATATTAAGGGGTAGCTGTTCTTCTCAACCTATAGATGAAGAAGCATGCTCAGAGAGGCAATAACAATGTGAGCCTCACCATACAACCAGTCAATGATACAGATGAATCAGGGGCCCTAGCCAATTGGACATCAGACTCCATGTTCCTTCTGCTACTGCACGCGACATGACATTGACTACTAAGCTACTAGGAGTGATGCTGTCTATAAGTGGCATTTCCTAAAAGGAGTGATGGCAGCTAGGGAGCTATTGTTTAGGCAGTTGTGTGGGTTCTCCTTTACCTTGTAACAATTTTAATTCTCTTCTCTTAGACACTAGGCTATTGTTCTGTCTAGAAGTAAAACTTAAGAAACGTTCAGTGAGACTATGGCAGACAGTAACTGGGCCTAGTGGTGGTGCAGAATGAGAACAATCGGGCACTGTGGGAAGGAAGGGTGTGAAGAGAAGCTTACGCTGATGGAATACCTGCTATATGGCGCAGACTGATATTTTAGCAGCAATAGGGTTGGTAGTTAAGGGTAAGAAATTTTGAGTCAGATAAACTCAAGTTTGCAAATCCAGTTCTGATGCATACATCCTCCTGACTTTGGTAAATTACTTAATTCCTGGTGCTGGCAGGTGGCATGGTGGTTAAGATGGCTGGACTCCCACGTGACTGACCATGATTCAAGTCTCAGACCTGGCAGCTTGCTTTCTCACTTTTCTTCTCTCGCTGTCTCTCTCTGGTCAACTTCAAAAAAATAAAATACAAAATAATGACAAGGAATAAAATTAAATAAAAAACTTGAAAAAATTACTTAATTTTGTAGTTTCAATAACTATAAAATGGGAATAACACTGTCCATAGTAAATATTAATTGAAGAGATAGCATGTTTTAAGGCCTTAACAGAATGTTTGGTATGAATTAATACTCCAAAAATTATAGCTTCTGAAACATCCTATTTCATTTTCATAATTACTCCACTATAATTTATATTTTATTATGACATACATCTTATGGAAGAAGAAACTGAGATTATGAGGGTTTAAGTAAATTGATCAAGATCAAAGAATGACAAATACTAGTACATATATTAGAAATCAAGTCAGTCTCTTAACAAGTATACTTTTTTAAAAAAAGTTTTTGATTTAGGGTGCATGCCCTCACTGGAGATAGAGTCAGAGACAGTGAGAGGGAAAATGAGAAATCACTCTCCAGGGGGATGGCCACACTGCAATCCCTTGTCCTTCATTCTCTCTCTGAGATCTTGGACATACGCACACATGTGCCCAGCATGATTGTCAAGCCACAAGGTCCAGGACTCGAACCATGGTTGGCCATGTGGGAGTCCAGCAATGCAACTGCTATGCTATCTGCTGGCCCACAAGTCTAATTTCTTTATAGTATTCTGTGTTGCTGAAAGGGGATATGTTATAATTTACCATGCTGAGCAATGTTTGTACTCAGGGAAATTGAAAACAAATTATAGTAAGAAAATTTTTAAGTTGTAGTTTTACTCATATAACCAAAATTAAAATATCTTTATTGCCTTCCAGGAAAAACAACTTAGTTACCTTATATCTTGAGTTATTATTTACATTCTTCTAAAAGTCATTTTATCATTGACATTTTTCTTTAGATCAGTAAGGAAATTGGTATGACTTTTATCAAGTAGGACATTGGTATCTTGAGAAGGAGCTAAATAAGAGATGTCAAGTCTGGCTCATCTTCTGAAGCTTTGGACAACATGCAGCTCAGGAGTACATGTAAAGGGAACATAGAGGACCTAGGGCAGTTCAGCCTCTCCATAGTCATAAGTGAAAATGCTGAGCAGCTCAATAGACAGACTAACTAACCGATGTTATTTAAACCTTATTTTATTATAATTTTTTAAAATCGTGTTTATTTATTTTCTCAATGAGAGAAGTAGATGAGAGAAAGCGTGAGAACGAGAGACCCACAATAGGATCTTCATGCCACAGTCTACTCCCAGCTTCAGCTAGCCTGGATCCTGGGCATGTGTGCGTGTGTAGACCTGGCATGGAGATTGGGAGACCTGAGGATTTGAACCCAAGACCTTCTCAAGTGGTCTATTATCACACACTGTTGCACTACCACTGCACCTCTGTGACTGGCCTAAAAATATCAACACAGATATGCTTCCTGCTCTCAGGTAGTTTGCAAACAGATGAAATTATTTCAGATAGTTGAAACTGCTGTGAAGATAGTCACTCGGTGAGAGTGACT